CATTACTACACATGTCTAGTCTATCATGTTTTTTTGTGGAGGCGGGGGTGTGTTCCTCTACTGGTGGTGGTGGGGAGGGATAAAGGTGGTCAGTCACATAATGTCGGGGAGAAAACGGAGGGAAATAAAGTGGGAAAGAAGGAAAAGGAATAAGGAGGGAGAGAGTGGAGGAGATTATGGTCGGTCGGTCGTAAACCTTTCAGCTGCGGCGTAAACACCTTCAAAACAACACTGTGAGACATTCTGTTTTCTGTGTTAAAGATGCATATTTTACCGGAAGATTATTTCATCAACTACTTAGTTATATACTGTATCTTGAATGAGGAAATTTATACAAATCATCTGTTTATTTTATCCCAACTCCTGAAGGACTTATATTTGATTCGCTCCAAAATTCATTAACCTTATTATGAATTTACATACTTACTTTAATGTAAAAAGAGTCTTATTTAGTAATGTAAATTTAAACAGCGTCTTATCTTTTACTGTAAATGTAATCAGTGCTCTGAAGTTCTTAACTAAATACTTCTGGGTGAATATAATCATCCTCAAGAACAGTAGATGAATTTATCGAGTGAGTGTATTGGATGGTGTTGGCTCAAAACACGTGCACACATACAAAAAATATAATAAAAATAATATCACCGACACTCATTAAAGAGTTCATGAATTGACACAGTCTCTCTCTCTCTCTCTCTCTCTCTCTCTCTCTCTCTCTCTCTCTCCAAAAAAAAAATACAATCGAAAATTTCCAAGATAATGAATATAGGAATTAAATAAACTGTACCAGTATTTCCTCTTCTTTATTTGCCAAAAGGTGTACAGAGTGACCTTGACGGAGACCAAGTATGTCGTGAATATCAAAGGCAATTTCACATGTGGTATGACAAGGCTCCCGACAAGTACACATCTGTTAAACACTGAAGTTTTGAGTCAATTAGAAAATATTATGCCTTGAACATTTGATTTATGTTTTTTTTTTCAGTACTTTACAATACACAATACTTGATGGATATTCTCACTGTAACTTTAAGACTTTGCAAGTTCTTGAAATAAAGTATTTATGATGATGTAACTGAATACCCCTTATTAAAAGTTAAAGTGGGTTCCATAGGCATGACTGTGCGTTAGGGAGATACAGCACACTGTACAGTATACTAAACCTTCGGTACACAAGGAGGCAGCATGGTCGGTACTACTCAAAACCGCCTTCACTTCCCCAAATTGTAAATTTAGATACCCATTTACAGCTGGGTGGACTGGGAGTACCCCTGGAATCGAACCACCGACACTTAGGGCTAGAGACGAGTTCTGTATCCACTCGACCGTCAAAGTCCCAGAAAAAATATAGCCTAATGCATTATCATAAAATGTTGTTATAAGGATATTTGTTCTCTGGTAAAAAACACACACAAATATCTATACATTCTGTGTGTGTGTGTGTGTGTAATGTACGTAAGACTCAGCCACACCTCCACCATCCATCCAGATTAACCCACTTTCAGTATCTTGGCTCCCACCTGTCCACCACCGCGGACATCAATTAAAAGATTCAACATCGAATCAGATGTGTATCTCAAGCCTTTGCCACTAGAAGTAGCCCTCCACATGTGCAACTTCTGTGGACGACCCTGCCAGTCCCGTATCGGCCTCTCGAATCACCTCAGATCTCACCAATGAAGGTGACATCTTTGATAAATCGCATCATTGTATCATAGCTGGATGATCGCCATACTCGATTCCGATTGACAGCAAAATACTAGTGTGTGTGTGTGTGTGTGTTTTCCTCGTGCATTCCTACAGTTTTGAAGACAGAGATTAGGAAGTTGGCAGGAAGATGCAGGTGCCCTAGGCCTAGGGGATGGTCGTACACTATGACCTGTCTGTCCACTGTTTTGAAGAGGGTAGGGACAGAAGTGCACTATCTCCTGTCCGTCCATCCAAGCGAGTCTGGGTAACTCAGTATATATTATGTTACACTAAATGGGGATAATTAGCGATTACTTCCAGGTTTTTATCGTTTTTGGAAACTTCGGACTGGTTATAAGCGATCATGTATATCATAAGAGTATATATAGATTAATATTTTCATACAAAACCTAACCTAACCAAAACTAGCCTAACCTCACCTAATCTATTTTAGGTAAAATTTTGCTATCTTATGATAGTACACGATGTCTTAAATGAAACAGTAAATTTTACTATACAAAAATCCATTTCCATCGAGATATAGCAATAAAACAAAAAGTTATCCCTATTCGGCACAAACTCCAGCTGCTTTTTAAGGCTTAATCGAGGAATATCTCTATTTAGAGGAGATATTTGGTAAAAAAAAATTCCTAGCGCTGACTAAACATCAGCCATATGTTCCAGTGCTTAGCCAGGTCATTGGATGTTCCAAGACCACAGGATACATATGAAGAGACCAAAGTTGTCCTTATCTCATGCATGTCCACACAGGATGGCCGAGAGACCCAAACATGAAACCAATAGATCAGGGTTGCCAGATGGTTTCAGTTGCTTATGGCCAAAAACACAGGAATAAAAGGCCAAAAAAAGGCCAAATGGTAAAATTGTCTTTAAAAACCTACATACTCTCCAAATTAAACTTAGAAACCTTTAAAAACAACAAAGTAAACACAAAACGTTGAAATATTTCTAAATAAATCAATTTAACAATAATAATAGGCATAAGGTAAAATAACTCACCTCAATCTTGTTACAGGAACATCGTTATGTCAACTTCTTCTTTTTGTGCGCTTCGTGCAGTCTGTTGTGAGTGTGAAGTTGATGCAACACCAATTTTACCACCATACGAATAGAGAATATCAGACTTGAAGTTCGTTATCATTCGATCCGTTATACGCATATCCTTACAACAGATTGAATTCTCGAAGAGATGCGCTCGGCTTCTGATAATTGCATCTAGAAGATTGATTTGCATTCTGTTTCTTGGTTTTGTTTTGATTGCAGTTACCAGAGAAAATATTCGTTCAACAATAGCATTGCTTGCTGGTGTGACTAGGCAATTAAGTGCATAAGCTGCCAATTCCTTGAAGTTTTCATGATGATAGACACCAAGCCAAAATTTGGTTGTGTCATCTGGAATTTCATTGTTTTCAAACACATTTTCTAGTCTCCAATCTGTTACAGTAATTTTCCGATATTGTTGTTCTATTTCATCTGAATTACTTTTAGCTAAATGCAACATAGGTAAATCTGAAAAATCACCTTTAGCTGTTTGGTTTAGTACCTTCGAAGGATTAAGTAATAAAAGATTTTTGAATGCTTCAGCTGCATTGCACAATCTGGAACGCACTTGATCGATGGCCTCAACAATAAATATACGGCATCTTCTTTTAACATCAAGGACTTTGCTTTCTTCTTCTTTAACTTGTTGTCTCTCCTTGAACTCCTTTAGATGACTATTAACTTCTTGCTGAAACTTGGCTCCAAAATCAATTTTTTCAATGCCTTTGTCTGTACCATCATTATTGTAAATTCTATTGCAAAGAGTTTTTCTGAGTAACTCTAATTCATTAGATAGTTTATGTGTATCCATGTTAGTGGATTGAAACATTGAATTGACAGCTTCAAAATCTTTAACAATAGGTGTAGCAAACACAAAATATAAATAACTGACTTTATCATAAAGCATTTCTTTTAATAATCTGGCTTTGAACTTTGTATCTGTTCGACCAGTATTTTCTGATGTTGCAAATTATGCTTTAAGTTCTTGCCAATTTACAAGAATATTGAACATTACTTTACCTTTAACAAGCCACCTAGTTTTAGAATCCTTCTGAAATGGTAATGGTGCTTGGTAATTACATTCAGCTTCGGACTGTGGATTCAATGTATCAAATACAGATTTGTAATCTTCTCTACGTAAGTTACTATTTGAGAACCAATGTGGTATCTCAGTTATGAGGAAGCCAAGGCCGGCACTCCGTTCAGTCTACGTGTTGTAAACGCGTTCAATACGCGTTTAGTACGTACTTAAAAAAAATGGCCACATTTTGAATATGGCCAAATCGAAATTTTGGTGGCCAAATACCTTCCAAAAAGGCCAAATACCTTCCAAAATGGCTAAATATCTCATATTTGGCCATAAAAAGGCTAATCTGGCAACTCTGCAATAGATCATCAACTAGCCTATGAAGGGGATGAAGCCCTCAACAGTGTAGAGGGACGCCCCGTCCTGACCATCCGCAAGAGCTCGTGTTTTGCTGATATACACGAATAGAACACTATTTAACGTATAGTATTCTTATCCGAAGCATATTGTCCTAGTGTTATATAGTAAAGTTTATATTTATGCCCGATCGTAATTCTTGTTTTGATATCAATATGTTTAACATTACATGTGCAGAACGTTCTAGTGTGTACACCACGCTACTCTACGATTGATGTTTGTTATTATATACTTTTGTTTTCTTTCTACACTTTGCTAATTGATATGCAAAAGAAATTATGTGTACTCAGGAGGAAACACAAGTAACTGCACATCAATAAAGTACCTTTCTCTCTTCCTCATATCTAATGATATGACGAAAATAGTTTGTTGTCTTCATAACTTGGGCTCCTCGTCTCCCCTACTACATTTATGAGCTTCAGTGTGATGTTGTAGATTTTGTCTTACTAAAATGTTGAGGTAGATCATCATCTGATTTTTACTACTTTGGAGTACAAGATCATCAAACATTTAGGAAACAAATTTGTACCTAACTAAAATATATGTACTGGTAACAAATGTACAGCTAACTCTATATGATACGTCTGCATTGAAATAAATGTTTTCTCCGTGAGTAAGTCAGTGGCAATTTTTCTACGCCAGTAGAGAAATGTAAGAGAACAGACTTGGCGTGAAACCAAGTGTTAGCTGCCCAGTGTAATATATCTTGAGGTCCCCAACTCTCAATAAACAGAAATTAGAAAAAGAACAATCTGGTTCTCATCTTAGCTATTAATATTCTCTCTAATTAACAAATAATACTAAATACACTTATAATTTTATTATTACATGTTTAATTTTAAACTTTGAACAAAACATACATTCAAGATTGTAAGTTTGATTTTCTAGCTTCATCAATTTTGTCTAGTTCTTTCTCCGTCACACTATGAACATATACAGTATATACATTTAGAGGCATCTTGCTGTTCTAAATTTTCGTATCCTTCAATAAAGAACTAAAACGAATTTAATTTAATTTATAATATGTCTTTAAAAAGGTTCATACACAGTGATTCCCCTTTTCTGCATCTACAAACTGTTTAAATATAATTTTGTTGTGACGAATATAGATATAACTTAATTTTATTTAATAAATTCCAGTAAGGACAAGTTGCATCCCATTAAGTGGTTATGAAATCATTGATATTACTTAAGTCACTTTTGGCAACGTAGATGTCTCTTCTTCTTTTCTGTTTGTCTATAACTAATATTACTTTCTGCACTCACCTGGGATCAGATGTCACTGGAACAATTAGTATTCTAAATAGGTATTGTCACGCGATATATTTTGTCTCACAGTATTAGTTTACATTAAAGTATGACAGTGTTAATGGTTTCTAACAAGCTTATGGGAAACCATGATCAAACGTAATTATATCAGGCGGTAAAGCACAAGGTAACCAGAGATCTCTCTCTTCACGCTAACACCACAGTTTCAGAAGGAAGTTATCGTGACCTGAGAACGTGGCTCCTGGCTCCTATAACTCTATGGCCTCCGGGTCTTTGTAGGTGACGCCCGACCTGATGTTCCTGTAGAACCTCATGACGCCCCACAGTGCCAGGATCTGTAGGAGACGACCAGTGAGGGACGATGGTAAGGAGGGAGGCTGATGTGGGGAGATGATGGTGGGGAGTGGGGTGGTTAGAGAATTATTAGTGAGGATAATTATATTGAGAGAGTATGATACAAAGTTTAGATGGTGGTGGGGAGAGTTCGGAAGACAGGCGAGAACTTTGTACACGAGGATGATAACAGCGAACCAAAATAAAAAGGATGGCAGAGAAAACTTGTGAGGAGGATAATTTAATGTGAGTGATAAAGGAATATTTCGCATGATTATTATTATTATTATTATTATTATTATTATTATTATTATTATTATTATTATTATTATTATTATTATTATTATTAATTAGGTTTTCATATTGAAATTAAACGAAATTATAAGTAGTGCAGTGTACACCACACTGTTATAGCATGAACGAAATATAAGTCCAATTATCAGCTTTCTACATTAAAAAAGTGTCTGAGGTATCGTCTTGACAAGCAAGCAAGAAAAACTAAAGCGTACACACAGAGCAAGTATGTCCTCGGGGAAAAAAACGCGAGTGTCTATAAAAAGAGAAGAGCAATTTGATTTACCGTAAGAGGCTAATAGATAAAGAAGCAAATTGGTGAATTTGCAAACAGTATAATTACGTCTCCCACAAGTGATAATTTTAGTTATACCTGTACTATCTAGGGAGCACAAGGATATGTTAGACAATTATTTAGAATTATTAAAAAATAAATAGAGATTTTTTTTTTGCGTCATACGAGTCAAAGTTTCAAATAAATTATTTTGCGTAAGAAAGATTCATGGCATGCAGTCCTGCATTTAAAATTAAGACGGAAAAAAAAAATATATATATACTTACGTTTAGAAATAGTCTTGTAACAAAAAACGCCATTTCCGCTTTACACATCGTGTCGAATTTCTGAAGAAAATAAGTGTCACATAAGATTCATCAGAGATGATTGGACGAGCTTGAAGGTTGTGTCTTGGTAGACTGGTAGAGCTACACTATATTAAAAGTTATGTCTTGGTAGGCTGGTAGAGCTACACTATATTAAAAGTTATGTCTTGGTAGACTGGTGGAGCTACACTATGGTGGAAGTTGTCTTGGTAGACTGGTAGAGCTACACTGTCTTTATAAACTTACTACTTTTTATAAGTTATGTCTTGGTAGACTGGTAGAGCTACACGCCATTAATGTTTGTGTACAGTATAAATAATTACAAAAGAATGTTATCAATATTATTATTTTTTAAATACACCCATTTATTAATATTACTGTATAAAATTACTTTAAAAAATTTGCTTCACTAAGGAAATAAGTAACTGAGGTTGTTGAGAATAATAGTTTTTTGTGAGGAAAGTGTAGTGCATACTGTAGAGAACACTTACTCACCTTATTAATGTGGTCTCTGAGGACGTTGGAATACATGCAGCAGACAGCCTCCAGGGCCATGAAGGTGATGTTGGCCACCACCCAAGGCGTTACCAGCCCACACCGCTCCTGTCACCACACATAAATGTTACTCGCACTTACCACCTGACCACAATAATACTTCTACTACCATTACTACTAGGATTAGTTCCACTACTACTTGTACTACTGCTACTACCATTATTATTAGGACTAGTTCTACTACTGCTTCTACTACTGCTACTACCATTACTACTAGGACTAGTTCTACACTACTTCCATCATTAGTAGAACTACTACTACTGTTATCGCCACGTGCCGGCCACATGTTGAGTGAAGAAACTCTTTACAACTCAGAATAGCTTATTAAGCGAAATGGAGCTGGTAGCAGCTGTGTGACTGCCTGAGAACCAGAGTCTCGCCTTCTACCGTAGAGACACCATCTTGATTTTTCGTTCAGCCAACATCTTCCTGGAGGATATTTTATTTGTGCTCGTTGATCTAACCCTAGACCCCAAAATGTGAGTGTGATTGTGAACTATTAAATCCTCTAAGAACTCTAAATAACTTTAATAAGTGTATTTATGTACTGTATATTGATCATATTATACAAGCTGTGTCCTCATATACCAGCAGTTGTTATATCTGAATTGTTTTTTTACAGGTTTTGACCGAACTATACTCATCGCATCAACGGCAAGGGTCTTATTGTCCTGCACAAACCAAAATCGCTCCTATGAGCGATTACAGTCAAAACATGGGATAGGACCATCGTGGGAGAAGCTGAGGCTCGCAGGGAGCGGAAGGAAGAGGAACTTTTTCAGAAAAGACTGGACGTCGTGTCAATATTGTTCGGACGATCGCGCGCGAGTGTTACTGTTCATTGTGGATAGCCACACCGGTAACCGCGAGGAACTGGTGTCAGAAAAGACTGGTCTTGGTGCCAAAATTGTTTGGACAAGTGCGCGTGAGTGTTACCGTTCATTATGGACAAGCCGCAAGGACCCGTGTCAGAGTGAAGTGCGCTTTCTGTGAGAAAATAACGTTGTGTAGACAGCTAGGTAACGTTGTGTAAATAAGTAAGGGCGCCGCAGTAGTGTTTTGTGACATCAGATGTGTAATGAGTCCCTAAGTTGATTGTGGGGTCTCTGTGGTCGTGTTAAGTGTGACATCACTCGTGTGTATGACACGCGTTTGTGTGATGTCACTCTTGCGTATGGCACGCATTTGTGTGACGTCACTCGTGAGTATAGCACTGTTTGTATGACGTCAATCGTGCGTATGGCATTGTTTGTGTGAAGTCACTCGTGCATTTAGCACTGTTTGTGTGACGTCATTCGTGTGTATGGCACTGCGTGACGTCACTCGTGCATATGGCACACGTGAGTGTGTCACTCGTGTGTATGGCACTGTTTATGTGACGTCACTCGTACGTATGACACTGTTTGTGTGGCGTCACTCGTGCGTATGGCACTGTGTGACGTCACTCGTGCATATGGCACGCATCAGTGTGACATCTCCAAATGTGTGATATCAGCGATCGTGGGACGTCACCATGAGTAGTAGCTGATACTAAGCACTACTGCATACATTTATGGAGCAGGACAGGTCACGCTCGTTGTTCTGGCAGTCATGGACAAGGAAGGGAATAAGTAAAAAATGAGACACTGTCGTGTGACACCCACTCCGCCAAGGCAGCGTGAGATAAACCTGTCTCCCGAGAAGAAAAGAAACCATAGCCACTGAGACATCGGCTGATGCAGCATCATACTTCACAGACAGTTTCGGTGGACCCAAAACATCATAGATCCGGAGCGGCCTTCTACACCCAAGGTCAGACCCTCCTATGGAGACTTTCTAATGACTTCTCCACCCTACAAACAGAGTTGGTAGCAATCTCAAAGGCCCAAACAAACCACATTCGCCACTTTCTCCGGGTCATCACACGATACCCACCACCTAGATAGCTTAGGAAGTATCCTCCCCAGCAAGTGCAGACCCAGTTCGGGGGGCGAACCACTCCGAAACCGACCACGTCCAAGAGTGGGGGTTGGTGGTAAGCGTTCACTGACCGAGGGTCCGCTTACACTTGCAAACCTGCAGTATCCTTTCATATCTGCAGGTAGGACAACCTCCATCCCAATCCCAAAACCTGCCCGGCTGTTCCAAGAGCTCCAGCCGGAACAAACCAAAAGCCCGTGTTGAACTACGGTCCGACAATCTCAACAAAAACAGAAGATCGCGGAAAGGTGTTATCACTACCAGAGACACGACCTTCTTCAAACCGAAACTGATGAAGAAACGCAATATCCAAGAGGACTCCCGGCGCTTACCTTAACCACAGAGCTGGGAACATCTCACCAGGGGGAGCGCAGAAGTACTTCCGAGCATCAAGCTCGCTTACCGAAACCACTAGCTTTGATGAAGGACCAAAAGGACGACCCGCCGGGGTCCGAGGGCTGGGTGAGAAAACTGTTAGAAAATATGAGGTTCTCCCAAAGGCCGACGCCGAAGTTCAGCGGAGGAACTTGTAGTGAATACCGGGAGCTCCAGAGAGTCTTCCAGCAACACATTGGGATGGCGCAGATACCTGATGCTTTGAAATTAGAGACACTTCTCGTCGCCTATGCCGGGCCCGCTAAGGACGCTTTGCGAGGATGCCTGCAAATTCAAGATCCCAAGGCAGGGTACAAGGAAGCTATGGACATATTAGAGAAACGTCACGGCAACAAGCACACTTATGTCTGCCAGCTAATAAAGAAGGCCCTGCGAGGTCCAACTGTGAGACTAAATGACGCAAAGGGCCTCCACCAGTTCTCAGACGAACTGGGGAATTGCGCGAGGAACTTGAAGGTCTTGGGAGAACGACGTCAGATTGACACGTATGAATCAATAAGCACATTAGCTGAGAGATTCAAGGGAAAGATAAGGGACGACTATGTGGATAAGGCGCATAAATACAAAAATAAGTGGGGGAAGCCTCCTGGGATCGAATGGATGTTGGAATTCACAATGGATATGGTCGACAAGGCGGAGGAGGCCCCAAAGGGACAAGGACAGGAAGAACCAAGCAGAATATATGCAGTTCATGTCAATCCTCGTCGAGGAAGAAAGTTGTGGGTCTGGTGACATCAGGAATAAAGACAACCAGAGAAACGGACGATGAACGCTGCTCGTTATGCCGCGGAGATCACCTTCTTCAGATATGCCGTACATTCCTCAGCATATCCGCAGCCAGAAGATGGTATGTGGTATAGATTGTTGCTCTGAACTACACTCGAGGCTTCTGCACTTCACGGGAGTTCTGATGAGCAGTGACAAGGCGCAAGGGGACGAAGTTGAAAAAGGAGAACACCAGACCAGCTTCTAAAGGGTGAAGAGAGCAACCACTGGAGGCACCTACCAAATAGACATATCACCTGATCACATGCGAACCTAGAATGAGTCAACTTAAGGCCATTATGCACCACCGGAATTTTCAACTAGTGGAGCTAAATCATGGAGGATCGAAGCCGGTACAAGCACCATGGGGAAAAGAAATCCACTTAGATGGGTCAGGGAAACCATAACCAGCAACGGAATTGATGATCGGCGTGAAGAACCCAACGATTGCGAGTTGTGACTACATGGGTCCAGCAGAGTCGCACTTCCAATAGTGAAAGTCAGGGTGGAGGAGAAGAACCAAGAGGCGAAAGGAGCAGTGGTCACCGGAGCTCTCTTGGATTCAGGCAGCAACCGATCTGTAATGATTGTTTATCAGACCACAGCTTACAGCCCAGAGAAATACAACACATATAACAGTAAGTAGATGAGCAGGGGTACACCCATAAGTTGACACACCCTACAGTGACCCAGGAGACCTGACTCTGGCCACTAAGTACTTGACCGGGTGATATGACCTACAACCACACCTTGCCAAGACACACCCGGGCATGACCACGCACCTGGGCAAACACAGCTGTTGAGATCTAACCAGTTTAGTGTTACTTGGCCCTGCAGTCCCGTCCACGGGTCATTAGATTCCTGATTCATTCACCCATTACTCCAGACTTCCCTCCCGACCCCCACGTCACCAGCAAAGCAGAGTCTCCCATAGGAGACAGTCCAGAAGCACCTGCTGGGCCTCCCTCAGGTCACGTGAGTTGTAACAGCACCATTTGTATTATATAAATATTTACCCAAATGTATAATACCCAGATATTCACCCATGAGTATGAATCAAATTGGTGACTTGACATTTCCTCCGGGGAGCGAGCGAGGTCAGGCTGGGTGAGCGCAGCTCAGCAACAAACATCTGACGCGTTTCCTTTTGAGGCCTGCTTGACCACCCTCTCTCCCTGGTGTGAAAGAGAGACTCTCATATCACTGGTTGCCCAGTGAACAGGTGTTCTCCTATACAAGTGCACTAAGACACTTCCCTGAGCAGAGAAGGTACAATATACTCTCAACTGAACTCAGTACCTGTGAAACTATATTTTTCTACAATAAAGCAAAACCAACAAAGTGTTTACTTCAGCCCTGCCACTTATCAATTCAAGAACTAATATATATCTATATATATATGTAACCGGTCGGAATTTACTGGACTTTTAATTTCTCACTTGACTTGGGGTTTATTAAAGATTATTAGATGGTAATTGCAGTGGAAGCGCCCCTTTGAGAAAAATCCCGAACCAGCACAAGAACACTTAAATTTACTAAACAAAATAAATTGTCCATGACCCGTGGAAGGATAACGTCTGTGACTGGGATGAATGAGACACACTGTAAAATTTAGACACTTATATTCCCTCCAACACTACAGACACAATCAAATAATGGTACACCAATATGCGCACCTCCTAACCGGAATTTAAAACACTACTCTGGGGAATAAAGGTTATACATGATATTGAGATTATTAGAAACTCAGACAATGCCTCATTAGGCAATAATAAATTCAAAGTATTAAGAAATGTTGCTTGCACACATGAAACAGGCCTTAAGGGCTTTCAACAAACTAATATCAACCACTAAGAAAATGGTAAAAAAAATAGAAATTAATAACTCTACAATGAATAGGCCACTCAACAAAATTATATCACCTCAAC